TATATATGTATATATATCCAGTACATCCTTGAGAAAAGACACTCCTACAAAACTTACCCAGACACCCTCGTACACATTGAAGACATCACATAATCGTAAATTGTTACAGAACAGAACAGTATGAATAAACGGTACTGAGAGAACATAATTGACATTGAGAGAACATACTATTCATACTGGGAATGTCGGAAATTACAGATTGAAGCTGGACTGAAATAAATGCGTTTTAAGTGCTGATTTGAATGTTGTTAAAGTGGTAGACTCCGGTACATGAGCTGGCAAAGCGTTCCGCAAGGAGCGGGTGTGGTTTGAAAAAACTTTCCCTCCGAGTCTCTGACTTTTGGTTTGGACAGGTCTTAAAAGTCTTTTCTTCGCCGATCTTAAAGGCCAAGATGGTATATATTCGCTGACTATGTCACAAACATATGATGGTGCAATGTTGTTGACGCATTTAAAACAAAGGACAATTATTTTGTACTGAATTCGTGCTTTCACCGGGAGCCTATGTAATTGAATTAGCATTGGTGTTACATGCTCATTGAGAGATTTCTTTAAAATTATGCGAGCAGCTTGGTTCTGAAGTTGCTGTAACCTATTTAACGTTTCAGTGGGAAGGTTTCCAAACTGAAAAATTGCAGTAGTCTAGACGTGAAAGGACAAAAGAAGAGATGACGGTTTTGATGGAATCAACACTAAGATATACTGACGTTTGTCCTATTCTGTGTAGTTCAAACTAAATTACTTTACATAGATCATTTATATGATGGTGCATGGATAGTTTGCAGTCAGTGTAAACGCCTAGATTTTTCACTTTATCTCTGAAACAGATGTTATCATTCCCACATAGAGAAGACAGAAGACAGAGACACGGAAGCAGATTGAGAAATAATAATTTTTGTAATTATTCGAACACAAAAGGAGGGAAATGTGTTATACAGTCTGCAGTCTCGTCAGGGCTAATTATATATTCGTGGAGCTGGTATTTTGCTTGTATTATTGTAATAAAAAATAATATATATGCACAGGTGTGTATCAAAGACCAAGACATACATACACAGAGAGAGAGAGAGAGAGAGAGAGAGAGAGAGAGAGAGAGAGAGAGAGAGAGTGAAACAGACAGACAGACAGACAAGGGGAGGGGGGAAATACAGATAGACAGACAGACAGACAGACAGACAGACAGACAGACAGAGGTGGTAATGTGGAGGGAGGAGCCAACTCTTTTATTCTTTGGCTATCATGGAGGAGCTAACAAAAACAGATCGGCTACCACTAGAATCAAATACATGTACCTGATATCATAACGTATGGAGGTAACTCCAAATCTTGTGAACCTGTAGGCCCGTAAACCGAATGATATCAAAACATTGCATTCTAATGACACAAAAACCCTAACCTTAACCCTGGTCTGGTAGGCCCTGCTATCACCTCAACAGCCGATTCTTTGCTTTTAGGAGCCACACCTACACATTTCTTTATGCAAACACACACACATAATAAGATCACTAGAACGTAGCAAATCAATGAGTGTCAAGAGAAATCCCAGCCCTTATTGCAAAACATCAAATCATATTACGGGGACAGGATA